TAACACAATACAGTACACAAACAACTGGAAGGCTTCGCCATGGGTAACCCGTTATCAGCCACCCTCTGCGAGTTTTTCATGGAAGACCTAGAACAAAAAGCCATAGCCACTGCCCCCCCAAACTGCTAAATAAAACTATGGAAACGCTACATAGACGACATACTGGAAATCATACCAAAAGGACAAACAAAAACACTAACACAACACTTGAATAACATTGACGACACAGGCAACATAAAGTTCACATATGAGTCAGAAACAGAAGGCAGTATAGCATTTATGGACATGAAAATAACCAGGCAGACCGACGGGACCCTAAACATAAACACATATAGGAAACCAACACACACAGACCAATACTTATTATGGACATCAGAACACCCCACCATACACAAAATGTCAGTAATTAGAACATTGTATCACAGAGCAAACATTATAACAGAAAGAAAGAGGCTGTAAACAAGAGGACAAACACATACAACACGCTTTAAAGACCTGCAGATACCTGACATGGGCAATAAACAAAGGAAAACAACAAACAACAACAGAAAGAAAAAAACAACCAAACCAAAAAACCAGAAACCCAGAAAGACAAGAACCAAAACCCGTGATGACCCTACCATACATCAAAAGCATAACAGAAAAAATAAGAGCAACAATGAAAAACCACAACATAAACACACCAACAAAACCATACACAACAGTTAGAAACAGACTAGTAGACCCAAAAGACAAGATACCAGCTGGACTTAAATGTGGAGTCGTTTACAAATCCCATGCAAACGTTGCAATAAAACATACATAGGAGAAACCGGACGCCAACTCAACACACGAACAACAGAACATAGAAAGGAGTGTGAGAAAGAGGCAAGTCGAAAACACACAAGAGCAGCAAAAGTAGAAGCAGAAAGCACAATAAAGAAGTCAGCTGTAAGAGATCACTGCATAAGAGAAAACCATGTAATGGACTGGGACAACACAAGGATCATAAACACCGAACAACAGAAATACAAAAGATGGATAAGGGAAGCTATCGAGATAAGGAGACGTGGATGTGAGACCATGAACAGAGACAATGGAGTTTACGATGGAGTTTACACGTTGGACCGCGCATGGGACTGCATCATCGGAGGACTGAAGAAGCCTCTCGGATGAGAGGTGAAACGTCTTCAAGCAACTCAAAGAAGTCCAGACGCGTTTCTTTCAAAGCTCCTTAGACTACAATGACCTGGATGACTGAGAACCTTCACAGACATCATCGGAGATGGGAGAGCGGACAGCAGAGGGCGACAACGTCCTCTGCTGAAGGAAGTGATGCCACCATCGGCATCAGCCTGATGATGTTTGCAGCTGCAAACGAAATGTTGCAGGTAAATAAACCTTTGCTGTGTTTTAAAAAGAACTGAAAGATGGGATCCTGTTAGTTTGCAGATGATAATTTAACTGCAGCCCACCACTTGTTTTGTTTTAACTTGACTGGGTTCAGTTCACTGCACATACAGCTTCATGTTATGTCTCTAAACTAACTCCAACACCCGAACTCTTCTAAACCTTTGCTGTTCCCGTCAGCTGAAACATTTAGAACAAATAAAGATGCACCTTTTTGAGTTTTAAACATTTAATTTTACATAATGAGAAAATGCTCCTCCTTGAACCGTCACCTTATCGTGGTGGAGGAGTTTGAGTGCCCTAATGATCCTAGGAGCTATGTTGTCTGGGGCACTTAGTGCCCCTGGTAGGGTCTCCCATGACAAATTGGTCTTAGGTGAAGGGTGAGACAAAGAACGGTTCGAAGGATCTTTCATGGCGGTTAAAACGAAGAGTCGGAGTACCCGGCCCGGAGGGCTACCGGGGTCCCACCCTGGAGCCAGGCCTGGGGTTGGGGCCCGTGAGCGAGCGCCTGGTGGCCGGGCTTTCGCCCATGGGGCCCGGCCGGGCCCAGCCCGAACCGGATACATGGGCTCGTCCAACTGTGGACCCACCACCCGCAGGAGGAACATGAAGGGTCCGGTGCAATGTGAATCGGGTGGCAGACCAAGGCGGGAGCCTTGGCGGTCCAATCCCCGGACAAGAAAACTAGTTTTTGGGACATGGAACGTCACCTCGCTGGCGGGGAAGGAGCCGGAGCTTGTGGCAGAGGTTGAGCGGTACCGGCTAGATATAGTCGGACTCACCTCGACACATAGCATTGGCTCTGGAACCCGAGACCTGGAGAGGGGTTGGACACTCTACTTTGCTGGAGTTGCTCTGGGTGAGAGGCGGAGGGCTGGGGTTGGCTTTTTGTTAGCCCCGAGACTCTCTGCCTGTGTGTTGGGGTTTACCCCGGGGGACAAGAGGGTAGCTTCCTTGCGCCTTCGGGTCGGGGAACGGGTCCTGACTGTTGTTTGTGCTTATGGGCCAAATATCAGTTCAGAGTACCCACCCTTTTTGGAGTCCCTGGGACGAGTGCTAGATAGTGCTCCATCAGGGGACTCCATTGTCCTGCTGGGGGACTTCAATGCTCACGTGGGCAATGACAGCTTGACCTGGAGGGGTGTGATTGGGAGGAACGGCCCACCTGATCAGAACTCGAGCGGTGTTTTGTTATTGGACTTCTGTGCAAGCCGCAGTTTGGCCATAACGAACACCATGTTCGAACATAAGGATGCCCACCGGTACACTTGGTACCAGGGCAGCCTAGGTCACAGGTCGATGATAGATTTTGTAGTCGTATCATCTGACCTGCGGCCGTATGTTTTGGACACCCGAGTGAAGAGAGGGGCGGAGCTGTCAACTGATCACCACCTGGTGGTGAGTTGGATCAGATGGCAAGGGAACATGCCGCGTAGACCTGGCAGACCCAAACGCATAGTGAGGGTCTGCTGGGAACGCCTGGCAGAAGAACCTGTCAAGACGGTCTTCAACTCCCACCTCCGGCAGAGCTTTGACCACGTCCCGAGAGCAGTGGGGGACATTGAGTCCGAGTGGGCCTTGTTCCACTCTGCGATTGTCGAGGCGGCTGTTGCTAGCTGTGGTCGTAAGGTGGCCGGTGCCAGTCGTGGTGGCAACCCCCGTACCCGCTGGTGGACACCAGAGGTTCGGGGAGCCGTCAGGCTGAAGAAGGAGGGCTACAGGGCGTGGCTGGTCTGTGGGTCTCCGGAGGCAGCAGACAGGTACCGGATAGCCAAGCGGGGTGCAGCAGTGGCAGTTGCCGAGGCAAAATCTCGGGCGTGGGAGGAGTTTGGTGAGGCCATGGAGAAAGACTATCGATCGGCTCCAAAGAGGTTCTGGCAAACTGTCCGGCGCCTCAGGAGAGGAAGGCAGCAACTCGCTCACACTGTTTACAGTGGGGATGGGGAGCTGCTGACGTCAACTGAGGCTATAGTCGGACGGTGGAAGGAATACTTTGAGGAGCTCCTCAATCCCACCAATGCGCATTCCGAGGAGGAACCAGAGCTGGGAGGCCTGGGGATGGACTGTCCGATCTCGGGGGCAGAAGTTGCTGAGGTAGTCAAACAACTACACAGCGGCGGAGCCCCGGGGGCGGATGAGGTTCGTCCTGGGTATCTCAAGGCTATGGATGTTGTAGGGCTGTCATGGTTGACACGTCTCTGCAACATTGCGTGGTCATCGGGGGCAGTTCCTAGGGAGTGGCAGACCGGGGTGGTGGTCCCCATCTTTAAGAAGGGTGACCTGAGGGTGTGTTCCAACTATAGGGGGATCACACTCCTCAGCCTCCCTGGAAAGGTCTACTCCAAGGTACTGGAGAGGAGGGTCCGATCGATAGTTGAATCTCAGATAGAGGAGGAGCAATGTGGTTTTCGTCCTGGCCGTGGAACTGTGGACCAGCTCTATACCCTTGCAAGGGTGATGGAGGGGGCATGGGAGTTTGCCCAACCAATCCACATGTGCTTTGTGGATTTGGAGAAGGCTTATGACCGTGTCCCCAGGGGCACCCTGTGGGGGACGCTCCAGGAGTATGGGGTGGGTGGCTTTCTGTTAAGGGCCATTCAGTCCCTTTACCAGAGGAGCGTGAGTTTGGTCCGCATAGCCGGTAGTAAGTCGGACCTGTTCCCAGTGAGGGTTGGACTCCGCCAGGGCTGCCCTTTGTCACCGGTTCTGTTCATCACTTTTATGGACAGAATTTCTAGACGCAGCCGTGGTGTGGAGTGTGTCGAGTTTGGTGGCAGGAGAATCTCGTCTCTGCTTTTTGCGGATGATGTGGTCCTCCTAGCTTCATCCAGCTCTGACCTTCAGCTCTTGCTGGGTAGGTTCGCGGCCGAATGTGAAGCGGCTGGGATGAGGATCAGCACCTCCAAATCTGAGACCATGGTTCTCGACCGGAAAAGGGTGGCTTGCCACCTCCGGGTCGGGGGAGAGGTCCTACCTCAAGTGGAGGAGTTTAAGTATCTCGGGGTCTTGTTCACGAGTGAGGGTAGGAGGGATCGGGAGATCGACAGGCGGATTGGTTCGGCGTCTGCAGTGATGCGGACGCTGAGCCGATCTGTCGTGGGGAAGAGGGAGCTGAGCCAGAAAGCCAGGCTCTCGATTTACCGGTCGATCTACGTCCCAATCCTCACCTATGGTCATGAGCTTTGGGTAATGACTGAAAGAACGAGATCGCGGATACAAGCGGCCGAAATGAGTTTCCTCCGTAGGGTGGCCGGGCTCAGCCTTAGAGATAGGGTGAGGAGCTCGGACATTCGGGAGGGACTCGGAGTAGAACCGCTGCTCCTCCGGATCGAAAGGAGCCAGTTGAGGTGGTTTGGGCATCTGGTCAGGATGCCTCCTGGACGCCTCCCCGGGGAGGTGTTTCGGGCATGTCCTGCCGGCAGAAGGCCCCCGGGTCGACCCAGGACACGTTGGAGAGGTTACATCTCCAATCTGGTCCGGGAACGCCTTGGGGTCCTGCCGGAGGAGCTGGTGGACAAGGCTGGGGAGAGGACGGCCTGGAGCTCCCTAGTTGGGATGCTGCCCCCGCGACCCGGACCCGGATAAGCGGAGGAAGACGAGACGACGAGACGACGATAATGAGAAATGAACTAGGTTTTTGAACACGGGTTGCTTCCGCTGACATTGTTTTCTTCGTTCAATAAAAGCTTGCACATGGATTATTTGTTGACCACTTTGGTCATATTTAGTTGTTTTATGGCAGCTTTACAACAGAATATACGTGACTCAAAAACATTTGAAGTAGATTATTGTAGATTTAGATTTTAGTAGTTTAACCTCCTTCATCCCTGCCTCCTTACATGGGGACATTAATGTCTGAGACTGACACTAATATTTCACCCTCTTCAGCTTAAACTTCTTACCCACAGACACTTGGATCTAAATTTAAATGTTCCTTTTAATGAATTTAACACTTTTACTTTTGAATGGTTAGGGGCCAAACTTTAACGTTTATGTTTATGAGGTCCTACCACTGCATACATAAATAAAAATGCAGATACATGGAGACAAAACCTCACCCACAGAAGCCAGATTTGACTAATTTAACAGAAATATGCTTTGACAGGTTTTGTGTTCTTGCTGTTACTTACATAAAAGCAGATTTTCTGGTATGTGTGCCTTTGTCAAAGCAGATCACCTAATTTTTATCTAAAACTATGGATTTAATATCCACCCTGTACCTTTCAGTAATGCAGCAATAAGCTAATTTACAGAGAAGAGAATTAACAGACAAATAAAACCTAAACCAAAAGGCGCAGCCACATGAGTCCGCTTGTCTTTAAGGGGGACCCTATCATGCAAATGACTTCCTTTAAGTCAAACCTTCATTGTCTTTTTAACTATACCACAGAGGGAAAATCCTCCAGCCAGGGCTTTCCATTTTCACCAGAGTGAGCCACAAACTGGTCTCCTGCCACCAACCAGTGTGTTTACATTCACATCTGAAATTGCCTTAAATAGACCAATGTTGTTTTTCAAGGCGTGGAACACTCGTTTAATCAATACATGGCCTCTAGTAGGAATGAATGCCTTGTAAGTCGTACTCGGGGGCAAAAAACACCAGTGCACCATTTCCAGGAAGTAGAAATGAGCCACATCACAGCTGAGCTTCAGATGGGTTTGGAGTCTTTTTTCCTGATATTTAGACACCTCCCCCTTGATTGGATAACAGCAACGTGACTCGACCACTGACTTGAAACATGAATGTTTTAGCTCCACAAATAACACAAGTCTGAAGGAGCTTCTGCTGTGTTGTGGAGTTGCTAATGCTAACGGTTAGCTTCTGTGCTCCCCTGGACGCTAAAGCAACAGCCTTCCCCGTCATGAGTCAAGATGGGTGAGACTACGAATGTTAAGCCACACTGTGAAGTAGATCTGTCAGGCTTTTCATATCCGAGAGTTTCACCATCTATTTTCTATCAGAAGCTAATGCAGCAGATAGGTGTAGGAGACTGTTTTCATGTTCAGCCTGCATGAAAAACTCACAGTGGCTGATTATAATCAGAAATCAGATTTAAAAAGGGGTTTTCAGTGCTCCACACCTTTAAAATGCATGTAACCCTATTAATCTGGCTGGTGGTGAACTGGTTCTAATCGAGCTGAAGTACTAGATTATGCAGTTGGAACCCAACTTCCTCTGTACGTAAATGGCTCAATGGAGCTGGTGCACTGCTGGTACTGACACAAACAGCTTTCTACACAGCAGAGAGGTCGATACGGTTGGCTGAGTTGGTGCTTTTGTCCCATGTGTTCATCTTAGTTGGCATTACACACTCCTTGTTCCCATTCATCTGCATCAGAAGACAGAGAATTAGAGCGTTTACGAGCCAAGCAGCTCATTTTTGACGGAGAAAACATTTCACTACCAGCACTCACGATGTCTGAGTTGAATGGCTTCACATTGATGTTTCGGATGGAGCTGCTGGTGAGAGACCACACTTTGGTTTTGTGTTTGAATGCAGCTCTGACCTGCAGACAGAGGAGAAGCCAGGCTACACTGGATGATAATTTGTTGTGAAACAGAAAGAGAAACTGCCTGCTGCTTGCTAATGGGAATTAATGATGTGAAATAAATTAAAACACAAACCTCAGAGTTAAGGAGACAATGGAACAAGAAGACAAAAAAACCCTAAAGTTAAAAAAGACAAAAAAATAGTTCAGTAAAAATCACAGAAAGATGTTAGAAAGAGAAAACTAGTGCAGAGCTTACTTGTAATGAGTTGAAAACAGCAAAGATATACAAGAAGGGCAAAGAGTGAGTGTTGACAGCGAGGACACCAAAGATCCAGGAAATGCCCAGAATGGGCAGGAGAACCGCCACTGCTTTGGCCGTCAGCCTTCAAACAAACCAAGAGATCAATGCGATTACCCAAATAAATATGTTACATAACCAAAAGAATGTTCTCGTAAACAAACTCACTTGACTGCATTGGCATCTCCATGAACCTTGTAATTCTCCCCGCTTATCCGAGATATGATCCTGGTCACAGATATCAGGATACCGATGTTCACCTGGTCATCAGGTTAGTTCAACGATGAATACACACACAAAGAAGAGCAATCAGAAGGTGTTGGGGGTTAAAAAATGAAAACGCTTTGGGGGATAAATTTCTTACCACAATTACAAAAAGAGCCGGAGCCACGAACGCCCAGATGGCTCCTGTCTTCAGTGACAGCCAGCAGCTGAAACAGCAGAGAAATTATAACAGCCTCCCTCCCATAAAGGTAATGTTGTAGTGCAAAGACTCAAATGTCATAACGTTAAACTAAAAGGCGGTTTCCAGGGGTGATGTCATCCCTGTGCGATTGCTGTAATGGAGTTAAATGGTGTCACATGTGCAGGTCTGACTTACTTGTCCCCATAGCTGTCAAAGGCCGACGTGATGGACACGATACAGATCAGCAGGGGACAACCTGGACGGAGATGCAAGACGATACGGTTTATAAACTGGGAGGCTCTTTTTACTGAGATACATGATTTTGTTTACTTTATGCCATCACTGTCTGCATTTATTATGGTCAAGTGCCGCCATTAGAGCTAACAGCTGTTACAGTTATTCTGAAATGATCCTTTATTCTTTGCAGAACATCTATGCTCCTTGCTGTCAGATGATTCTTAAGCACATCATTTACAAACGAGCACACAGAATGAAAAATGAGTCCAGCCATTGGAAGGGAAGTCATAAAACAGGGATCATTTTGCACTAATGGGTTCAGCATGTTAAAGGGAGTTTAAGCACCATCCTGCTGTCAGAGAAAGTTTATTTATGACCAGAATTTTTCAGATCTCTTAAGGTCAGTGAACCAAAAAGAACTTTGTGTTATACCAAATGCATTTAATTTAGACCTATTTAACTTTGTCCTTTTGTTTTTTTTTTAAATCAGTTTGGCATGAAGACGATTGGCATTGGATCAAAGAGGATGTGACATAAAAGGAAGCAAAAGTATTGTGGTCCTTTCGTCGACCTACCCCAGCCAATGCCGTAGTAGTAGAAGTGTTTGCTGCCCTCAGAGCCGAACACCTTCACCACCATACTGTAGAGATGGAGGCCCTCCACCAGCATCCAGGCAAAAGCACTCAGGAAGAAGAAGTGAAGCAGGACAGCCATGATCTTACAGGACAGCTGAGAATAAAACCCAGAGTGTTACTGTCAAAACAAACAGCTTTAAAGGTACAGTTCACACCTTCTGATGCAGCGTTCTGTAAAAGGTTACAGATGATTCACATTTGACCTCTTTTAGATGCCTGACTGGATTGACAAGCTAACAGCTAGGGTCAGGGATCATTCTAATATCACATATGATGTTTGAAAGATACTTTTTAAAAGTTTACACAAATGTGAACTTTGCTTGACATCATTGACTACAAGGTATTTCATAGCTTTGTGCAGCAAAGATTAGCAGCAGAGCCAGCCATTAGTGGCATCGGCTCATCGCTACAGAGCAAGAAATAAACAAGATATGTCAAAAGTTACAATTAACCCAAGCTGGATAAAGAGCTGCGGAGAAGGGAAGATACATTTTCCACTTGCTTTTTAAAGGCGCTGTTATAGATTATGGTTTTTAGGTGCTGGGAAGTTGCAGCTGGTCAGCCAATGACCTAGATGTTAGGGTTAGATCAAATAAAACAAAGCTGGTGGAGAAACCTCTTTCAACGTGGTAACACATCTCTGTGTACCAACAGTACCAACAAGGTGGGAGGTGGCTGTGATCTCACTGTACGGAGTAAGACTCACTTAGTAAGCGCGTTACCCGTTTAACACTCTCTCACCATCATTAGCTAATCACCTAATCCGCTAAATCTAAATACTGTAGCATCATAACTACATGTGGAAGGCATTGCGAGGTGTACTAACCGTGCCCGGGTCAAAGCGAGCGCTGATGAGCAGCAAGACCTCAGCCACTAAGATGGCGAAGGACAGGTTGGCGTGGATGTGGTAGCGTTGGTTACGGATGGTGCTGACTGACCTACAGAGAAGCAAGAAGATAATAAACTGTTACCACTTCTTATGAAAAACATAAAAACGCTGCGTCTGTTCATGTAAAACTCACGAGAGGACAGCAAAGGTGACCAGAGTGATGGTGAGGCAGAAGATGGAAATTGAGCATCCTATGTAACCAATGGTTGATAACGCCATCTTGTGGTCAGTGGTGAGCTGTGTGAATAGACAGATAATGCATTTTGGCTTTGATTTTTTACACAAGTGTTTCTCCCGTCCTAATTTAATGTAACTTGGTTCATTAGGTTTGCTTTGCTCTGGGAAGCAAGCACGTAGGCTATGATGACTGTAATAGAGAAAAGTCAGACTGTTGTGCATCAGGCACAACCTGCTTTTTCCTGCATTAATGGAAAATAAAACATATTTTCTATGGATGTCTCAATCTTTTGACTCAAGTAAATGTTCTATTTATGTGATTGGCACAAAGAAACTGTGGCTGTAAGCGCACATGCATGATGTTTGACCTTATGCATGAACGTTATTTTGAATTTATGTCTATTTTCAGGGTTTGGTTTAGATTTTCAGTGAACTGTCTGCATACGAGCCTTGTTATTACGAGCAGAGAGAAGTCTCAGGCTTCAGGAAGAGGGAAACTTGGGATGTTCCCTTGCAGCTGGGGGACGTGAAGCAGCCCGCTAATTAGAGACTCGCTGTGGGAGAGCACAGCATCAAGTTCTGCAGCCCTGGACTCAAACTAGCTCACTTAGCTGCAATAACAAGTCCACATTTCTATTTTAAAACACTATTGTGGATGCTGACCGCACTCCAAAGGCACGCACTCTCTGCAGGAAAGCGATGGCTGTTTTATCCTGAGCGGCTCTAATATCAAACAGGACAGTAATTAAACAGGGAAGAAAGAGTGATTGTGGTTGCAGATGTTTAAAACCAGAGGGTTTTAAAGGAATAAGTGTCCTTTAGATACTGCTTTACTGACACAAAGAGACTCTACGCTGAAACAGTTGTCCAAGACTTTAGTGTGAAAACCCTGAAACCATGATACAGTCAACTGTGGTTGATTAGCGGGTTAAACCAGTGAGAACCACTAAATCTGGTCCAGTAGTGCTCCTGTTTCACATTAGTAATGATGTAACAGGTGGAAGACACGTGTGTGTTTAACAAGAGCAACATTCCATTCAGAAGATGCTCTGCTTGCATATTTTACACACATCTACAGAAATGGAATGCAGCCATCATTAGTAAATCAGGGCCTTCCGTAGTTGTTTGAGTCAAAATGTGAAGTTGATTCCCTTTTTATCAGTTTTTTTAATTTTATTTTTATAATCTAACACTTTACGATAAAGCTGTTTTGACAAATCTGCACAACAAGGTAGGTTTTTAAAGCAAACACGGAACACTCACCCCTCCCTTCAGGTATCTTCCCTGAGACACTTCTGCCGGAATCAGAGACCTTTGATGCCATCCAAACATGTTTTGTTGTCCGTGACTTCAAATGGTGTTTTGAAGTGGTAGCAGCCGGCGGTTTCTCCTTCTCTGATATCTCTGATACAATGCCTCCCTGCTTGACACTCAGCTTTAAGGTGTTGGATTGGGGAGTTAAACCACCAACTAATTCCCGAGCGCAGCCACTGCTGCAGCTCACTGCTGCAGCTCACTGCTCCCCACGGGGATGGGTCAAATGCAGGGATGAATTCCACCAGTGTGTGATGACTACTGGGACTTTAACTTTATGTTTTTGAGCGGAGAACCTTCCACACCAGTGGTGTTCTGTTGCTGAATATGTGTATGTAGTGAGTGGAGGAGCCAGGGAAGTGTGATGATTTGGCGAGACTGACAACTGGATTGTTCAATAGCCACTTCCGGTTTGAAATGTGTTGGTGGAGGTTTATAAACAAATGTGAGAGAACTACTTTTTAATTTTTTTCATTATTATTTCAATCTCCACAAATAAACTATGTTATAATGTTGAAAGAGGCATGAAAAAAGATGTAAGCTCAGTTGTTTTCCAGATGTGTCATTACAGCTTCAACAATGTTTGAAACTAAAGCTATTTTAGGTGTTTATATAAAGAAGCTTTTAAAACGAGTAGTTTAATAATCTGATTGGATCATATTTTGCTGTTTCTGAGTAAAGTAAGTAAAATGTTCGTTGATCAGGCAGATTTCATGAGAATTGCTTCACAAGAACGTGAGTATAACAATCACCAGGGTTTACTGACTACTCTGGCAGCATGGATTTCTTTTACTCCAGTGTGAGTTTAGTGCTTTATATGTGGGATGAATGTAATAAATGTAGATCTAATACCAGTTCTGGACAATATCATATGTTAGCTTTACAGTTTAATTATTAAACAAAACGCTAAATTCAGATTAAAAAAAAAAGCTCCAAAAAATCCAGAGAAGTTGTGAGTCAAACCCACCTAACAGACACTTGTTTGTTGGTCTGGAGCATACAGGTGTGTGTTAACATGAAAAGGAGGGAAGACATCAGAGAGAAGCGACTTTTGCGAGATATCAAGTGTATTATAGTGATAAGGATTATTCACACGTGGAAAACAGCCAGGAGTGGATATCCTAGCATCAGAGTTTAAAGATGGTGCTCTTAATGAGCTCATAACTGAAAGAATAAAGCAGCAATAAAAACACTTTGCTTACCTCTAAGGGGACAACTTGCATGAGGATGGCAAAGTTAGTGAGGTGGTTGCACAAGCACACAGAATAGGACATATTTCCCTCGGAGCGTACGCAGCCTTCATTAGACCAAACTCCCTCTTTAGAGCTGAAAACAATAACGCCGCCGTATTAACACACAAGTTTAGCACACAAACTAAAACCTGAGGATTTAAGTAAAAGAAGTCAGACTGGGTTGTTTCTGTGTGAGCAGCTGGCAGAGATCACAGTGTAATTCATCAAGGGAGGCTCGCGCAGAACTCCTTCCCTCTAACTTTTCTGAGGCAATATGACAGCATAATTTAATAATTCACATTTTTTATGAGCTTCAGGGCAAAAGGGAACAAGAGGAGGAAGCTTCTGAATCCAACTAAAAAGATTTATGCTCCTTAAATGGGGTGTTGGACTTGTTTTTTTAGAACATCATAATTCTATGGAGAGCCGTTGAAGTAAAACAGCAACACAAGTACGGCTGGTGTTTCAGATGTGGAGTCAGAGGTAACACCTTCTAAACAGCTGATCCTTGTAATGATTTAAGACCTCAGAGGCCAGAGCAACATGGTTTAAAAAGCCCATAAATAAGATAAACTGTGTCTAGACCACGCGCGCACACACACACACACACACACACACACACACACACTCACCTGTAGTCCAAATAGGCGCAGTAGAGGAAAACTTTGTTGCTCTGATTTAGAAGCTGGTCTTGCTGTTCTTTTGTCTGAAAAAAATGATAAAATACAAATTTAAATGTCTCCTTTTACTATAAATAAATGAATAATAAATAAATAAATAAATAAATAGATAGATAGTTTTTAATGTAAAACCAAAAACGGTCTAAATCTCCATTATGTGGAAACAAACAAACAAAAAAAATACATTTACCTAAAAATGACCAAAAAGGCTAATATAAATCTGGTCATGTTTGAAAGAAAACGTACCAAAGTGTTTTCTTATATTTTGTACCATTAATTATTTCTCTAGTTTAGGTTAGTGCCTCCTTCAGTAGATACAGGGAGTAAAATGTCTTCCACCAAGCATGATGACAGATATGAATTTAAAATGTTTTTAAATGTATTTTGTTTTTCATTTTTGCCCCTTAGCGTCCAAATTAAAAGATTTATTTTAAAATTAAGGTAACCTTTCACAATAAAAGTCCCTTTGTTAATGTTACTTAGGTCATTATAAACTATTATAATAACAACTGCTTAAGTATATTGTGTGATGCATCCCTTTGTCCTAACCTTAAGGACACTTAATAGTTAACAAAAACAGTAATGTTAATAAAGGAATCCCTATTTTAACCCTCTGGAGGCAGGCGTTGCAGATTTGCAACAGTTAAAACCTACCTACCTGGTTACTCCACATACGTATTTCATGAGCATTTTTTAACTCAGAAGTACCCCTGAAGGACTTAGTTGTTCATCCTTTTATCAAAACTTATTTTGAGCCTGAGAGGGTTAAAGTGTTAACAAACAAGTAGAAAAAAATGTCCACTTTTAAATTCATGATTAAAAATGGTAAAACAGCTCATCTCGGTGAAGGATGAAAGTCCCTTTTATCCTAAATAATTTTACTTGATGATAAATCACATTTTCCATGTCAGTCCTTGTGACGTGGACTCTTTAGGGACAGTGAGCTAACGGCGGTATGGTGCAGGAATGTGGTAAGTGAGGCTCGGCCCTGGCTCCAGGTCCAAATCACCCAAACCCTCCCAGTCTGTGATCAGCCTGCTTGGATGTAAACTTGGATGAAATGCATGCGTTCCCATTCAGGTCCTCTGATTCCTTCTGGAAAAAGTGAGCGTGAGAGAACTGGAGAATCAGGCTTCCTGTTTCCTGGGTTCAGGCTCAGTGATGAAAAACACAAAGCAAAGCACAACATTCTACTTTGTTGTGTAATCAAATCAATTCAGGCCTCTTCTATTCTGGATGATTATGTGTTACACAGTGGGACAGAATATGAGGTTCATGATTCTGAAACGTAGCCAAATGACCAAACAGACCATCATACTCCTAAAGCTCCCTGTAGACCCTGCCTGTGTTCTCCAGCTGACATCCGAGTACCTGATAGTCGCGAGCTTTAAGAGCATCCCGATGTTCCCCTCGTGCCCTGTGGCCTTGGAATCCACCAGCCGTGATGAAAGCCGGAGTTCCAAGTTTTTATTACAAACAGAAGGCCGGCAAACACTGCCCAGGAAATCACTCAGAGCCTCGAGGAGAGCAGAGCTGAGCGGACAGAGAGCAACAGCAGAGTGACTGGCAGATAACGGAGAAAGGTCTGAAGGTAAATCAGAGTTTGGACGTCTCTGCTGCTCCTGTGATGGATTAGCTACTTGTTGCTGCTCTGAAACTACCATAAATTCTCTAATACAGGCCCGGGCCTGTATTTGACTCAAGCTCATCAAGCTCCAGGCCTTTATTGGAAGGAGGGCCAGTATTAGAGGCAGGCCTCTATTTCTATTTGAGCAAAATGAACTAATGGTTTGCTGGAGTTTTTGACAATTAAAATTGCGCCCACATTTTCAAAGTTAAACACATTTCTTTTAACAACAAGTAGTTTCTGCTTCAGCCCTCTCCCCCCTCCCCCTGCGCAGCGGCCGCAAACTCACTGATGCGCCTGCAGCCTCTCAGAGTTCCTGCTGCTCTAAACATTAAAATAATTATTTCATTTTCTGTTCCTCACTTCTGATTACCTTCAATGGTGTCTGTTTGTTGCAACCAGCAGGTACAAAAACTAACATGTTTTTATTTGACTATTTTTCTGTCCTGCCTGTTTATTATCTTCCTGCATCTCCTCTCAATCCTAAAGAAAAACTGCTACCTGGGTTCATTTATATTCACCTTATGAGTAATCTTTGAACTGCAGTTCTAAAAGATATACCGACCACAAAAACAGCGGAGTGCGCGCTTTTTGCCGGCCACATCAGTTAGGTGCGTCACCGAGGACAAACAAGGTGATGCGCCCCGATCCACAGCAGCGAAAAGCATCAGGCACAAATAAAAGAATAAAAGACAGAAAACATAAAAGGAAATGAGCCGACATGAACAATCGCGTGTTAAATTAGTTTTTGAGGTGGCGACACCTGATTTGATAATGTTACTGTGGCCGTGCTCAGGACGCAGATGTCTGGAGCACGTCAACAATCAGAGCTTTGCATGCGCAAGCTGGTTAAGGTTAGGATGGGGGTGAGGGGAAGGTTAAATTGCAAGAGGGTAAACGTCACAATTTGGTTAAATGTCCGTTTTACGGCGGGTGTCAGTACCGACGCTCTGGCACAGCGCGTCGCCTCCCGACGCACAGGAGCTTGTCACCTGCTGACAGCAGGCTGCTGTCTTTTCCGTGGAAAGCATCTTGCCGGTCATTATCACGTGACAGCGACTAGTCGATGACAGGCATAAAAAGTCACTATAGTGAAGTCGACTAGTTCATACAACCCCTACTGCTCCTCAGAGTGTTCTGCAGCATAATCAGCACGTTCTCTTTGAACTTGATATCAAATTTTCGCCTCCTCTTCGTCTCCACACGGTTAAAGTAACCCTCGCGGTCTATCACTGGCAAATCAAAAGTGAGACGGATGACACAACCGCCCCCCATACATGCTTGTTACCACATTCCACCCGGCCACAATAAAAAACCGGCAATTATTCACCTCCGCCGACTCCGACACCGGCCAAAATATGATACCTGGCAGTTAATTAAATACAGGCTAATATTAGAGGATTTACGGTAAGTTTAGTTGTTTTAATAGCAGGTTTATCAGAATAAGAAGAAGATATGTAACTAACTTACTCTACAAGATATCTGAAATCGGACTCAAAATCCACAGAAAACCTCCTAATGTCTGCGTTAATCATCCATAATCAACTACATCCATCAAATTCAAGCTTATCATTATAACTAAAAAAAGTCAGTGTCTTTCAGGTAAATGCTGCAGGTGAAGCATGTGAATGGAAAAAACCTTAAAACTGTCAAGCAGACAGAAAACAGTAGTTAGTTATGCAGACAAGAGTTTTGCAGCTGAAGATGGTGAGAAATCCTGTGAAGCACCTGCAGCTCTTTTGGATCTCCTTTTTCAGGTGGGACAACAGACCTTTCCACTTAGTCACATTCATGTGCTCCGAGTCAGACATTAACATCTACTGCTCAAACTGTTTCCGTTTTTAAAAATCACTCTTACCAAGTAACAAAACAAAAAAAACAATACACACCTACAAAATCTAAACTGACTGGACTGACAAGCTAAAGGCTAGTTCAACAGAGGCCAAGAACAATTCTATTCTCAAAGATTTCATTTTGTGAATGACATTTAGGATAATTTCCAGCAGTTTCATGTGGTTATTTAAAGACCAAGTTCACTGAGAAACAGTTTTTTATATAATAAAGTGTTTCACATCCTTTTTATTGATATTTTCACTTTCTCATATTTATATTTTTCTTTATTTAGTTTCTAAAAGGACACAGAGAACAAAACTATTGAGTTCTACATACAGTACATGGATAAATTGTTGGTGAGTCATTACATAGGGGATTACTTAAATCTTTTTCTTTTCCTTTCTTTTTTTATCTTTTTAAATAGTTTTTACTTGTTATTTTTTAAGTATGATTGTCTCTCTGAGTTTTAGATGCAAGCTGAACATGAAAATAGTTTTCTACTCCTACTTCCTGCATTAGCCGCCATAAGAGAATAGACGGGGAAATGCTTGGATAAACAAAGCCAGTGACATTTGCATATCACATTGAAAATTTGCATTCATTGACTCACTCACCTTGGCTCACGATGGGGAAGGCTGTTTTGGTTAAGCATCCCGGTAATAGCAAAGCATGTCCTGGTCCTGACTAGTAGAAGCTAACCGTTAGCATTAGCAACTCACAATATGGCATCATTCAGGCTTGTGTTATTTGTGGAGATAAAACATCAGCGTTGCAGAGCAAACAGAGTCATCAGTAGAGTCACACTGCTGTTCCTGTTGTCTTCTGCCCCCACTTCTCTGGCAAACTTCTACTTCCTGAAACAGGAAGGCCAGAGCTTTTATCCCACAGAGATCCACTCAGGTTTAAGTAGGTAGGTAGCAGGTTTAAGTCTGCCCTCAAAACACACTATTTTAGCCTGGCTTTTTCCAAATGACTGTCTTCATTCATCAGTGTGACGCTTCTCTATTAGCGGCAGCTCGTGACATTCTTCTGTACTTTTAGCTCACTAGCGTTGCTCAATTAGTTTTTTTCTTGTTTCTCTTTTATCTCTTATCTTAGTGCTTTTACTTGTTTTATGGTTGGTTTACTTTTAATTTTATACCTTGCTTTTATGTGTGTTATATATTTTTAGCTTTATGTTTTACTCCTATGCTGTCTTTGTAGTTTGAGTCTTTGGCTCTCTTGTACAGCACTTTGGTTAGCTGCCATGCTATTTTTGAATGTGCTTTATAAATAAACTGGTATGGTATGGTATGGTATGGTATGGTATGGTATGGTAAAACAAATATTCCAACATAATAGGACCTAACCACATCAACAGCTACTCGGGGGTAGGGAGGAGGGGTATTCAGAGGTATTTTCAGCTCATTCAATCAATCAATCAAAGCTTTATTTATAAAGCGCCTTCCCTGTCGGGAAGCCCAAGGCGCTGAACACGGTACATGAGAAAAACAGGTAAAAACATTAAAGTAGAAAACAAATGGGTAAAACAAGAGATAAAGAGACCAATGAAAGCAGGGAATTAAA